GCACCAGCAGCAGACACAATTTTCTACACTGAGTCCTAGTGGTGCCCCCCCCCCCACAGTCTGGTACCTGAGGCGGCTGCCTCAGTTCTCCTCAAGGTAAGGCCAGCCCTGCATTTCCTTTTGCTTCAAAAGAGGTAGAAGGGGAATATTTTTTCACCAGGGCACTATGAGCTGCATTTCAAATTGAAGTGAACTTAACTCAAAAAAACCGCACATTCTTGCTTCAGTCACATCCAGATGCTTGATCCAGGTTTTTGCAGCAGAATCAGAGCAGCTATCCTGGGTTTTCTATTTAGTCAGTGAAACTACAGGGACAAAAATTGCCTAGATTCAGAAGGATCCAGGTGCCTGTTCTGGGTTTTTGTGGTACTGCTGCACCAAGGTCTGGATTTATTTGACATACTGGAAGCAGCTAGATTTCTTCTCTATTTCTGCAGTAGAATTAGAGATGTTGGGTCTGAAAATTGGCTAGATACAAGTGCCAAATTTGGGTTTTTGCAGTGCTGTTGCACCCGCATACTTTGGGATCTAAATATTCTTGATGCAATAGGAGCAGCTAGACTTATTCTCTTTTCTGATGATATAACTTGAAGGCTGGAGTTGAAAAAACCAAACCAAAACAGTAGGCTACAGGTATCGCCAGCTTTTATGTTTAGCTCTGGTGTAAGAGAAATTTCTTTCTCCTTTCATATATCTAGGGGAGCGGGAATCAAGGTATCATGCAGTCACTCTAGTTTTAAACTAGTCTAGAAAATGGACCCTCAATTAGCGTCCAAAGACAGCATTCTAGAAGCAACACTTGGCCGCTGAAAGTACCCTGAGAATGATTAGAGCTGGCACGGCTCCTGGAGCTCTAATGTTACAGTACTTCCAATGCATAGCAGCCAGACCACCAACCCCCTCTTTGTCCTGGTCTTCAGGTAACTATTAGTGAAAAAAGCTGTGTTATTTTAGTATTTTGCAAACCTTGTGTCAATGAAATTTTAAGTTCAGAGAATTCAAATAATCCAATTGGAAATAGCAATATTTACTTATTTTAGATGGACTTTTTCAGATAATGCCTAACCAGAAAAGAGGAACATGTATATGCAATTCTGCTGTGCAGAAGCAACCATAAGTTAGTCATCTTATGCAAAACCTTAATGTTTACATACATATATCTGAAAAATAATGAGCCAAACATCAAATATCTTCTAATATAATCACACAATTATCAGTATTCCTTTTAACTCTAAAATAAAATTTGTTCACTGCATAGTCCAGCTGAGTACTTCCATACAGCCATGTTTAGGACTGCTAGTATTTAAACAATCCAACTAAACTTTGAAATTAATTCACACCTTTGCTGCTGCCATTGTACATTTGGGAACAATTTTCTGAAAAGTTGAATGAGCAAAACATGACTCAAGTCATTTGCAGTGTAAATATCTTATAGCTGTGAAGGACAAAAACTTCCATTTTTAACATGGCAGTTGGCATCTGCAAAAGACACTGAAATTTGATTAGAAAACTATGTATTTTGCCATTTGTATGTATCCATGATTTCCAAATGTCCTTTTTTAGCATGAAAACAAGTCTTTCATCTCAACATCAGTAGTTTGATTCTGATCTAAATATGCAGTAGTGATTGGACATTGTTACAATTTGGCAGCTGTTGTGTGGCCTAAATGAAATTTAACCCCAGCAGGTGGACTTTCCCATCATAACTTATTATACAATTTGACACCAAGAGTTTCCTTAGACTAGAATCCCAAGGCAACCTCAAAAGGCCAAAGCTGAATGAAAAGTGATTTACTCTATGAGCCTCAGAGATGCTTCTTCCCACAATAGGGTAATATATTAGCAAGACCAATAAGTAAGCTTGCCTTGCCACAACCCCATGTTGTATATTTTCTGTCTTCACAGTTAGATATTTAGTTCATTTCAAAATCACTAAGTTTATTTAAAAATAAATTTAAATGATCTTACAGTATTTAATAAGATTTTAAAATTCTTAAGCATGTGTGTTTAAAGAGTTCTTTCAAAAAAGGTGCTGTAAATGGTTTCAAGCCTCAGAGGAGCAAGACAAAAATGATCACCGCTTGAGATTTCTCCTACGCCTTAGGAAAGTCACAGAATAGTAGAACTGGAAGAGACCTTGAGAGGTCATCTAGTCCAGCCCCCTGATATAGACCATCCCTGACAGGTGCTTGTCTAACCTGCTCTTAAAAATCTCCAATGATGAAGATTCCACAACCTCCCTAGGCAATTTATTCCAGTGCTTAATCTCCCTGACAGTTAGGAAGTTTTTCCTGCTGTCCAACCTAAACAGCCCTTGCTGCAATTTAAGCCTATTGCTTCTTGTCCTATCCTTAGAGGTTAAAGAGAACAATTTTTCTCCCTACTCCTTGTAACAACCTTTTATGTACTTGAAAACTGATATGTCCCCCCTCAGCCTTCTCTTCTCCAGACTAAACAAACATTTTTTTTTTCTTCAATCTTCCCTCACAGGTCATGTTTTCTAGACCTCTCATCATTTTCGCTGCTCTTCTCTGGACCTTCTCCAATTTCTCGATCTCTTTCCCAAAATGTGGCACCCAGAACTGGACACCATACTCCAGCTGAGGCCTAATCAGCATGGAGTAGAATGGAAGAATTACTTCTCGTGTCTTGCTTACAGCACTCCTGCTAATACATACCAGAATGATATTTGCTTTTTTTGCAACAGTGTTACACTGTTGACTCATATTTAGCTTGTGATACACTATAACCCCCCAGATCCCTTTCCGCAGTACTTCCTTCTAGGTAGTCATTTTCCATTTTATATGTGTGCAACTGATTGTTCCATCCTAAGTGGAGAACTTTGCATTTGTCCTGATTGAATTTCATCCTCGTTACTTCAGACCATCTCTCCAGTTTGGCCAGATCATTTTGAATTTTAATCCTATCCTCCAAAGCACTTGCAACTCCTCTCATCTTGGTAGCATCCGCAAACTTTGTAAGTATGCTCTCTAGGTCATTATCTAAATCACTGATGAAGATATTAAACAGAACCGGACCCAGAACTCATCCCTGCAGGACCCCCACTCAATATGCCCTTCCAGCTTGATTGTGAACTACTGATAACTACTCTCTGTGAACGGTCTTCCAATCAATTATGCACCCACTGTAGCTCTATCTTGACCATATTACCCTAGTTTGTTTCTGATAAGGTCATGTGATCAGAAACAATATCAAAAGCCTTACTAAAGTCAAGATATACCATATCTACAGCTTTCCCCCACCCATTAGGCTTGTTACCCTGTCAAAGAAAGCTATTAGATTCGCTTGACTTGATTTGTTCTCGACAAATGCATACTGACAGTTACTTATCACCTTTTTATCTTCTAGGTGTTGGCCAACTGATTGCTTAAATATTTGCTCCACTATCTTTTTGGGTACTGAAGTTAAATTGACTGGTCTGTAATTCCCCATTTTGTCCTTATTTCCCTTTTTATAGATGGGCACTCTATTCGCCCACAGAACATGGGCATCAATCCTGCTGCCTGTTGCATGCTAAGCAAGCATTCTACCACTTGAACAAATTCCCCTTGACGACATAACATTACTTTAATTTTTGTTACATGCACCTTCAGTATAATGCTGATTGTAGGATAAGACTACAACTATTAAATGACATGCCTTAGAACAGAAACCACTGATAATACAATATTGTCCAAAAGTCTCCCTCTGACCAGACTGACAAAAATGTCAATATTGTTTCACAAAAAGAAAAGGAGTACTTGTGACACCTTAGAGACTAACCAATTTATTAGTTTCAGAGTAACAGCCGTGTTAGTCTGTATTCTCAAAAAGAAAAGGAGTACTTGTGGCACCTTAGAGACTAACCAATTTATTTGAGCATGAGCTTTCGTGAGCTACAGCTCACTTCATCGGATGCATACCGTGGAAACTGCAGCAGACTTTATTTATACACAGAGAATATGAAAAAATACCTCCTCCCACCCCACCTGATGATCACTTTAGATAAGCTATTACCAGCAGGACAGTGGGGTGGGAGGAGGTATTGTTTCATGATCTCTGTGTGTATATAATGTCTGCTGCAGTTTCCACGGTATGCATCCGATGAAGTGAGCTGTAGCTCACGAAAGCTCATGCTCAAATAAATTGGTTAGTCTCTAAGGTGCCACAAGTACTCCTTTTCTTTTTGCGAATACAGACTAACACAGCTGTTACTCTGAATATTGTTTCACAGAGATGAGAAGCCCTTGGCCAAAGGACTTGTTAACACTCACACCCTGTTTTATGATCACAGATAAAATTAGGAATTAACTTGGGTTAGAATCAAGACCATTAATATTTAAGAGTTACACCCAGTACTTACCCCCTTATTACGTTATATAAGCATTATTGATGGGCCTGCCCATGAGGGGTGCACCATTCCCCAGTTGAGGGGCTCAGAGACCACAGAGAGAGGTGCGGTATGAAAAGAGAAGAGACGATCCATGACATTCACGCCGTTTCAGTAACCAGTGGACTAGCCCCATCTCTGCTGCTAAGGGGGCAGCCTCACCCCACCCTACCCCATTGCCCCTAGCGGTCGGGGCGCCCACCTCCCCCCACCCACTCTCCAGTCCCCCGGGGCCCAGCCCCACCAGCACTCACCGCCCCTCAGCACGAACAGGTCCGTCTGCTTATCCGAGTTAAAGTCCCCGAAGGCCACCAGGGTCCCGAAGGCCTCGGCCCCGAAGAGCTGGGCGGTGACGTTCTGCAGCCCCCGGCCAGCCCTCAGCAGCCCCAGGAGCAAGGACAGACCAAACAGGTAGCAGCGCCCCATCCTCCAGCACCTCCAACCCACTCGCAGGCCGCCGCCAACATCACTTACGGTAACGGGGGAGGGGCCGTCACAATCCCCTCTTCGCTTCCGGGACTGACTAGACGCCGCATTTGCGACAGTGTCGTGGGCGTGTTTACGGCCGGCCAGGGTAACAACGGCGGCCAGAGCCGTGCTGTCGCCTCGGCCTCTTCCGGTGGAAAAGGCGCGCGGGGAGGGGAGTAGTAGTGGTGGTGCGTCCGCGCGATGGCGTTGCATCTGGCAGACGTGAGCTGGAGGATGTTGGAGCTGCGAGCCCGGTCCAAGCGCTCAGGTCTGACCCCTTCTCCTGGACAGGGAGGGGGCTGCGGGGGTCTGTTTGCTTGTGCCCGCGCTGAGAGAACGGCGCTCGCCTTGTTCCCTGTTCCTCTAACCCCTCTCAGGCGAGCCCTGCTCGTCCCCCCGCCTCAGCTGCGGCTGTCACTATTCTGGCTTGCTTGGCCCTGCGGCAGCTTCGCAGCTCACTCAAAGGGCAGCTGCCGCGGCGGAGCTGAAGACACAAGTGCTGCTACTGCTGCTGCACGGTTTTCTCCTCACCTTCTTACCTAACGCTGACCAAGTCTGAGCGAAAATCTGAGGCTTGTTCGGGGCTATGGTAACTCGCATTCTCCAGTCCTGTGGTGCACTTCCCCATTAAGCTGGATGTGTCCTTGCTATCGCAATAACTGACAGAGATGTAGCTCAAATTTAGATCCCTTTCTAGAGCCAAAGTCTTAACCCTTTTGTTTGCTTTTTCATCCTCACACCTTGTAAAAACAAAAAACGCAACCGATCCAATTAGTTTGGAAATAAAATCTTTTGGATTAATCTGAAGGTCATTTAAAAAATCTGCTACTCTGCTGATGCATAACTTTGCTGAGACATTTTAAATTCATGAGTTTAATGGGACATTTAAATTTCAGTAAAGTTCAGCTTAGCACATGTTATAAGCAAAACTGGTTTGTTTCACACATCATTGTGTTTGACAAGCTGTTGAACAGTAATGTATTCTGAAACCACTAATATATTCTTACATCAAAATCATGAGCTTTGTCTAATTTTGCTGAGAACCACAGATTAGACTTGCATTCCACTCCCCTGAGATAGGTAAGCCAAGGATTTTTCAACAATTTATTGCCATAAACCAGTAGTTCTCAACCTGTGGCCCATGGGCCACTTGCGTCCCAATCAGCACAGAGCTGCTGCCCATGTGACATCCTCAGGGCCATACAGGTGGTATTGGATGCAGCCCACGATGGTACAATAACCAGTGCCATAAAAACAAAATAGTTTGTAGTGACTTGTTACACTCTAAAAATTGCTTTCCTTAAAGGGAAGCTATCACCGCAAGGTGACCCACAAAGTTAGGTTTTGTCAAAGCTTGTTTGTAGCTCTGTATTTGTAGAATCATTCAGATAGTTATTAGAATAATTCAACTTTTAATGCTGACCACACAGTACTACTTAATTAAACTTACAAAACATGCAAGACCATTTTTAATCGAGCATAATTTTACAGTCAATGTTCCTATCTAAAAGGAAAATGCATATTTAACTATATACTTGACTGTGAAATAAATGTAACTACTTTTGCTTATTTAAAAGGAAATTACAAATAGTTTACACAAAGTATGTATTTAAATGGAATGTTCAGTGCAAAATTTAGTAAGTGTGACTCAAGTTTAGAGTCGAAGGGTGAGACTCACATTTTACAGTATCTTCTAGAAAACGAAATATCATTTAGGCCCCAGTCTTGCAGACACCTGTACATACTCCAGTTACACTTTAAAAGTATGAAAGTGAATTTTTGCCAGGAAAAACTTATAAGTACCAATGAATTAAATAACTGATTGATTACAGTTGTATTAGTAGGAATGTACTGCAGATAATACAGTAGTAGGCCAGTCCTGCAATCTGACTGGTACATAGCCTCACTGACCCTAGCAGGATTCCACACATGTGTAAGAGGGTTGCCTGCACAGCTTCGTCTGCAGGATCAGGGCCTAGTTTTCAACATCAGTTATGAAAACTACAGCTTGTTTTTGTGTGTTTACCCACCAAAACAGAAGAGACACCAATTCAAATAATTACTATTCTCGGCATTGTAATCATGGTATAGTACTGCAGAAGGAAACCAACCTGTAGATTATTTGTAGCCTAAAAATTACTGGGTTGCAATAGCTGTTTAAATGTGTATCACTTGCTTTGTTTTAGTACAAAATATTGCATCTTTACTATTAATGGAAGAAGAAATGCTTTTCTTTTGGATCAAGGCGTGGGTAGCGGGTATCAGGCAAGGGGAGGCTGAGCCTCCCCAAACAGCCCTGTGTTGCTCTGCCCATGCTCTGCCCCCGGACCCTCTCCTGTTTCCTACTGGTGTTCTGTGACTTTTCCCCTGGGGCTGGGTGGCAGCCCAGGGCTCCAGGCAGCTGGAGCCAGTGCTTGCACTGCCCAGCACTGAGCGGGAGTTGTGGGGCTGGTGGCCATGAGGGGGCTCAGGCAGGGGAGTGGGGTGGGGCGGGGACTAGCCTCCCCAAGCTGTTAATTCAGTGCTGCCTATGGATCAAGGATTTATTTAATCTTGGAGTAGAATATGTATGGGCTTTATTCTGCACATATTGATATCAGTGGCAAAACTCCTATTGACTTCAGCGGTGCAAGATCAGGTCATAGAAAGGGTAAATATTCAAAGCATTGTCATAAAATAACCAGGAATTTTACTTCAAAATAAAGTAATATTATTTTTATATAATATTCAGTATGGGAAGATTATGCATATCTAGGTCCTGTTACTTGGTTAGATGTTGTTTATTAAAACTAAGGCACAAGAAAACCAAGTTTTAGGGTATAAGAGGGAAAACATAAATAATAATTAACCTTAATTATCCCCTTGATTGTCCAGTGCATCATGTTAATAACTCTGCTAACACTGCTTTCACTAATTTAATGCTGATTGCTTCTAACCCTCACTGGACAGTTTTGAAAATTGCTGTAGTTTAGCCTGAGACGTTTGTGATTAGCTGCATCAGTTTGAAATGGCCAATTCGGACGATGACAAAGCGAGCTCTGCACATACTTTCTCAAGGTTTGGTAAGTGTGTGGTCTTTCCTTTTTTATGTTTTTGTGTCTTCCACTTTGAAAAGTGTGATTGCTTGTTGCTGCTTTCTTGCAATGTTAACATAAAAATGCCATATGTATTTTGTATTTAATTTGTACTGGCAGTTCTTTTATTTATAATTTTTTAAGAAAAATTTATGTCCAAGGATTGAGCTTCTTGTGGGGAAAGCCTTCCAAATTTCAAATCTCTTATTTTCAGAAGGAAAAAAAAATCCTTAATTATGTTGGTTTTTGTGTGTGTATTTTTGTTGTGTATTATTTATCAGTTCTTTTACGGTGACAGTCTTGGTTATGAACTTTCCTTTGTAATGACAGTTAAGTTAAAGGTGCTGTTAGAGCATTGTTTAGCTTCTTTTTTTTTTTAGTGTTAAACCACAAATAGCTTCTTTTTTTAAGCATGTCTCATGTAGCTGGCTACAGTCTTAAGGCTTGTCTACGCTTGAAAATAAATTTGGATTAAGATACAGTGTGAATGTAAAGCACAGTATCTGTTCATATACCACTCCACATGAGTATATAAGAGTGCCTTTTTCCAGTTTAGCTTAATCTACTAGATATTGTACTAGTAGCACAAATTTTCAGTGGTGACTCTCAGTCGGATTGCATCTGAAAGGCTTTCAGCTGTCCACTGCAAGGATCTCAACAGAAGAGCCCCGTAAGCTTCTGTTGTACTTTTCTTTCTCCATCCCTTCTGTGTTAAAAGAGCTACTTGGGTTCTTGCCTCTGCTGATAATCTGGGTTTGTCTTCACTACCAGGGAGATCGATGCAGATGTCGATTTAGCGGGTCTAATGAAGACCCGCTGAATCGACAGCAGAGTGCTCTCAGGTCGACTCAGGTACTCCAGCTCCCTGAGAAGAGTAAGGCAAGTCAAATGGAGAGCATCTCCCTTTGACACAGCGCAGTGAAGACACCACGGTAAATCAACCTTAGCTATGTCAACTCCAGCTGTGTTATTCACTATATAGCTGAAGTAGTGTAACTTAGGTCGACTTACTCCGGTAGCGAAGACAAGCCCAGAGTTTTTCTACTTTCTTAATTTGTGTAACTACTCAACATTTCCTACTGGTAACTAAACAGATTTGTACCAGTTAAAAGCTGATGTTGTCCTGAAGTCTCAGGTTGAGCAATGGCAGCACAAAATACTGACATTTGAGTATCCAAAGATAGTTTCCTGTTTGGTTTGTAGCAATTTCAAGACTTGTTTGGCAAATGCCTATGTTTATGTTAATGGGTTTTGAGAATAAACTCCTGAGTTTATTGTTTCGAGCGTCTACTGTGTTACGTATCGTTAGTTACAGCAAGTTCTGAAATCCAGTGGTAAAGTCCGAGTACAGTGAATTACATAAACTGTTTCTTTTATTTCAGAAGATGAAGAGACTTAATAAGATGTATCAGAAGAAATATGTTTGGAGTTGGTTTCTCTGTCTTGTAAAGGAGAGTAATAGAGGTTTTAAAAGGGTTTTACACCAATGAAACAAGGGGTCATTGGCAGAAGTTAGCTTAATTTCTGGAAATAGTACAATTTGAACACATTGTATATTGTAAGCCTTGCAAACTCCAAAAACCTTAATCGCTTCCAAGGACAATTTTGTTTCTCTTATTTTAACTTAGATGATGCTTAGTTTTAAATGGCATACTTTAAGGAATAGACTGGTAAAATACATTGCATGTTTTCCTCCTTACCATGGAATTACAAAGACATTATATGCATATGCACATACAAAATTCTTTATTACAAAAGGCTATTTAAAAGTTTGGTCCCTTTAAAAAAAAAATTAGTAGTTTTTTTTTTTAATTGGTTCCTCTAACTAAACTGTGAAAAGAATTTAAATAACTCAGTTTTTTTTCCTCGTAAAAGATAATTATGAGTTCTCCTGAGTTAGTAATTGCAGTTTATGTTCTCCCAGGTTAGTAGTTGAAGTTTGTTTGCAGTTTTGCATGGTAATTTACTGCTTCTCATTACTGAAATATTTATTTTGGGAATAGTGAAAAGCTAACACAAATAGCTTTACAGACAAGAATTCTTTGTAGTACTGTCCCAGTATTACCTTTATAGATGAAACATGTATTTAAAATTACTGCTAAAAGTGGGCTGCTTCTCCTAAAACTTTGCTCTCAAGCTTCAGCTATCAGGACAAGTAAAGCATTCTAAGACGTTATATCTATTTTAGGGCTTTATGTTGCCTCCCGTCATTGTAGTATCCGAGTGCCTTCCACCTAAACTCAGTAGCAGTCCTGAAGTTTGTAGCAGACTCCATTGGGTCCCTGGCATTTCTGCGTTTTTGGGGACAAAACTCTGCTTATGGTCAGCTTTTGATTTTTTGGGAGGAGGGACCTGATTGGGCTTTAGAAATAGAAGAGGGTATTTGTATCATGTCACTTAAGGTGGAAAGGTGTCACTTGACTGGGATGTGGGTGGTCGTGCCTCATGGTTGAAGGTGGAGTCAGGCAGCCAAGAATTGGAGCTGCTGGTCATAAGTGGTACTCCTGGGGGAATTCTGTGCCACTGCGTATACAGAATTCATGTCCGTTGCAGATTTATTTGCTTCCCTGTGGAAAAATGACTTTCTGACGGGGAAGCAAAGAGAAGCCACGAGAGGTCACATGTCCCTCCCTAGCACCGCAGGCGCTTTGTTTTGAGCGCCTGGAACAGCTGGCGGAGAAGCAAATCACTGTGGGGCTGGGGATGCCCTGGCCAGGTCAGATCGTACCGGACTCCCCCATACCCATATCCTACCACCAAGCCTCAACCGCGCGCACCCAAACTCCCACTCCACTGAGCCTCACCCCCTGCATCCGGAGCAACCCTGCACCCAGACCTCCCCCACCCGGACCCTCCCCTGCATTCAGACTGCCCCCACCAATCTCCCCCCAACCCTCCCCACTGAGCTCCTCTCCCTTCCCTCCTGCATCTGGACCTCCCCTGAGCTCCTTCACCCTTTTTTGGTGCAGGATTCTCTCAGGAGTAAACTGGAGTCAGAAGCCAGATGCCAGAGCCAAAGTCAAGTCAGGAACTGGAGCTGTGGGTCAGAGTTGCATGACCTGGGCTGAGGAAAGGCTGGGAAAAAACCTGGCACGGGAGTTATTGCAGGCATGGGCAAATGCTTTGAGCAGCCAGCTCCCGATTGCTAGTCATAAGGGTCTGCTGATCCCCTCAGTCATTTGGACAATTTGGCGTCTCAGTTGGGCCCAGCTGCACTCCTTAGACTGCCTGGGTTTTAGGTTAGCAGATAAGCAGGCTAGCTGCAGGTCCTTACTCCTGACAAAAGTCTGTCTTGAAGAGGAAGATTTTCAGCAGAGTAACTTTGGAAGAGTTGCCGGATTGTTGGAAGCATTCTTGATGTACACTAACGCAGGAGCCAAGGTTATTGTTAAAAGCAATAATCCATCTAACCTTAAAGTGGAAAGAAAAGCTGATAGTGATATGACTGATTCCAACTGAAGTAGTTTGGTCCCTGTATTAGATAATAGATGTAGTGGAAACCACAAGGACAAGATTTAAAAGACCTGTCAAAATGTCTTGCCTTAAGCCTTCTGTAAGAGGATATGGTGAACAAGATAGCTGTTATCTTTTACAGGGTACAATGCTGGTCAACCATGACTATTTTAGATTATTTGAAAGTGCATCTGGATCTTACCAGCAAAACATGTCAAGGAGCTGCCAATGCCTCTGCTATTCAAAGAATATGAATAATTGCCATGTTTGTAGTTCAGTAAAGTTCACAGCATTTAGCCAGTAACCTAAATCCAGAGTGATGATCTTTGATCAGTTGGTGATTCAGACTAAAACAGAGGGTGCTTAAATTAGTAAACCCCTCATGTACTTTCATATAAAATGTTTCATTTGAATGATTGGTTCGAATTATATGTCTGAGTTGAAAGGGTTATAATTTTTATCTTCCCAGTCCTAATTATTGCAATATGCTTTTGTTCTTTTCATTTATTAATAATACCTATATAGCATGTATAATACAGATACGTATGCTCATTGAATTTTTTGGGGGGATGAGTATGGAGTTAACATAATAAGTACCCATTCATCACTGAAAAATGGATTAAAGTCCTCTTTAATCTCATAGTTTTTGATTCAATGAACATTAATTGAGGATAAGAGTTTGACTTTTGGATGGAGGTGTGGGGATAGAAGGTTACACTGTCATGGGATAAATTAGAAAAGGGGTGGCACAGATAATGGCAGATTAAATTAGGAAAACATGAGAGAGGGCTAGTTAATGGGAAGGAATGATCTTATCGTACAGAACTAAATTGCAGGAATGAGGGTAGAGAATGAGTGTCGGAATGGAGCTGTGACTAAATGAGTGCAGGTTGTAGAGAAAGTATTGGAAGGAATCAGATTTTTTTAAATCAACAACAAAAACACTTGGAGCCGAAAAGAGATGAGACCTTACCAGATGCCCCCTATTTCAACACCAAGTTGAATCCATTAGACTGCTTTTGACATTATAAAGTCAGGGCAGGTGGATATGGGATGCGTACAGGTCTAGGAGAGGCTGGAAGAGGAGGGAAAAGTAAAAATGAGAACCTACAAAAATAATGGACTCAACAAAACGTATGAAAACATTGCCTCAGTCTATTTACTTCTAAGTTTGCATCCTTTCTCCTATGCCCCATCTGTTTTTGTCTACTGAGGTTATTATGTTTACACCTTGTTACATGTACATACTCCCTAATGAGTATATGGGTAATATATACTGATAAGGTTTATCAAGTGCTTTGACCATAAAAAGGCCTATATATGTGCTAAATAGTATTAACTGTGACTATAAATTACAATACATGTTTGGTCTCAAATTATTACATTTTTCTTGCACCCCTACAACTATTTTTGACATGACGTTGTCTTATTTCTCAGTGGCAGCTTTATTCACGAACTTAATTTGGCCTTGCCTTTCTGATCTCCTTGTAATGTAGGTTCCATTTCTGCCAATTCACCCATGTGGACAAACTCTT